ACCTCACTGGGGCGCAAAACGCACCGGCCGAGCCGAGCCGTGCCGAGCCGAGCCAAGCCGAGCCGAGTTTTAGTAGTTGCCATTCGCTCAGCATAATACACATCCCTGACAACTGACCATCCGGTCACAGTGCCTGGCTACGAACAAAATGCAGTAAGACAGTAACTGTTCCAGTTTTCACTGAGGGCAAAACCATAGTTGCTTGAATGTAATGCGAAACCCCATCATTGCCCACAGCAAACTCCTGACTGAAACAGCAGCGCAGCCTTTCTATTTAACATCAGCAGAATCTAAAAATTTGAAGAGATAGTGGATGATGTCCATTCTATCTTAGCATCTCCTCCATGCCAAATCCCCATTTTTTATAAATACAAATATTCAGTTTCTTTTCTTTTATTTTCATCCCGCAGTAGTTTTTCATTTTGACTTACTTTGGATACTACAGCATCCCATGTCTATTCAGTAATTATTTACTTGCAGCGGAAGTTTTCAGAGATTTTTGAATGGAACTCCTCTCCGGCACTCTTGAATGGAACTCCTCTCCATCACACTAAATATCTAACGCACTTTCTTCGTAAGTCCGATAGCAAGTTTTCCTGTGCTTCTTTGATTGTGCTTCACAACTGAATCAAATGGCTAGTAGGCCTTCTGAGCCGCGAAATTGTCACTTTGTTGTATGCGTCAAAAAACAGCTATTTTACAAACACAGGAAAAGGCATTTGTTTTCTATAGCTTCACCAAGTGTTAGTTGTTGGAAAAGCTCCAGGATTGTTTAGCACTTTCCTCACAGATGTTCGGCAGAAAAAAAAGATTGGTCAGTATATCCTGGAACAGAACCAGAAGACTTATGTGCAATCTAAGCATCACTGCTAAAAACAAAAAAACCGAACCATTTGCGTCCAGCACTTTCAATTTGTAACTGAAGCTGCTCATTGGAGGATGGTGCATCTGGTCTGTACGCGATTAGAGTTACCAAAATTGGTCCCAGTTCAACACTTTTGTAGTGAAAGTGATCCTGATCCAAGAGCTTCTTGATACTAAACAATTTTTTTCATACTAAAACCATTCCTGACTATACAAACAGATCCATTAACATAATAAAATCACATTTATTTTCCCAGTCAGGTTGTTCTTACTGGTTGGGAACTTATGGAAAGTAAAAAGTGGCTCTGCAAACAATTGGAATAGCTGAACATAATTTTACCCAATTCCGGACGATAAACCCTCCTACTTCCATATA